CTGACGAATACCTCTGAATCCCAGTTGAAAGTCTTTGACATAAAGGATGAAACGTATGATTATGACTCAATTTTATGTAAAAATTGACGTTCGTATATGTCAGTCTCAGAGCACCTAAATTTACATCAATTTTTCTAAGTGTGTATAATGGACTTGAAGACCATAATAACCCACAAATGTTTCTTGGGAACTGAGTGTGTAAAGCTAACAATCGGGATTCTCTGGAACCCAGCCAACAAACATTGCATGCAGAATAAGAGCTTGTTCAGGCAAAATACGCTTCTTCAGCTATAAAATTGATAATTCAGCCATTATTCAGCAAATTGGTTGTTGGACTGTCAAGCTACAATGCTCAGTGTAGATTGTCCGAATTGAAATTATGATTCTCCATCCCAGTCGGTTTTCTCCAGATATCAGTCGGGAATCTCTGTAACCCAGTTGATCTTCATTTGTTAGTAGAGATTCTGTAGATCTCAGTCTATATTTCTCAGATCCGATTCTATGAAATCTAGTCGAGATTCACTGGGTTCTAGTCGGGATTCTCCGAATACTGGCTAGAATTTTCCTGATCTTGGTCTGAATTCTCTTGATCCCAGTATAGATTTTTTAAATTCTAGTCGATCCTCGGACCTCAGTCGAATGCTCTGAGACTGATTTTAGTTGGGGTTTAACGGAGCCCTGTCAGGATTCTCCGGTTCCCAGTCGATATTTTCCAACTCCCTTCCCGAGAAATCTGGAGCTCAAATGGGATTCTCCAAATTCCAGTCTGGATTCAACCAAACCCAGTTGGAAGCCTCCGAATTTAAATCGCGATTTTGTGTATCCAAGTGCAGATTTCTCGGTCAGTCAGGTTTCTCAGTCTCCGGAATTCAATCAGGAATCTACATATCCCAGTCGGCATTCTCTGGATTCAATTCGGGTTTCTCTAGGTCCTAGTCGATCTACAATACCAGTCGGAATTCAACGGATACCAATCAGTGTTCAACGAATCCTAGTCTGGATCTTCGGATTCCAGTAATGATTCAACGGAACCCAGATGAGAATCTCCGGATTTCATCCGGAATGCTCTAGATTCCACTTAAGATTCTTCAAATCCCATTTGAACTATGGATTCCAATCAAGATTCAACGAATCCCAGTCAGGATTATCTGAACTCCAATCGGGGTTCTTTGGATTTTCCAGATGTTATTCGGGATTCTAAGAATAACGATTGGGATTCTCCAGATCCCAGTTGGCAATTAGTGGTTCTCACGTAGTCTTTGGACTTCAGCCGAGATTTTCCAGATTCGAATCAAGATTCTCTAAATTTCAGTAAATGTTGTCAGTTTTATCTGGATCCCAGTTGATGTACAAGACTCTCCGAACGTAAGTTCCCTCAGTTCTCAGTTAACTATTCTTCAGATCCCATTGGAAATTCTCCGCATCTCAACGGACTTTTCTTTTCGGCTTCCAGACTAAATTATTTGGATTGCAGTCTAGATTCTAAATAAGAATACGGTACCATGGCAGATTGCAGATAAGGATTCTATGGAACTCCAACTGTGATTCTAGATAATTCTGACTATAATTGCTAGAAATATCTACAACATTCTGAATAACAACCGGAGAATCTTGAATGCGAACTGGAAAATCTGGAATCCTAAGCGGCATTTTATGGATTCAATTCAGGTTTCTCTGGATCTTAATCGATCTACAAACGTCAGCTGGGATTCTTTCGATACCAGTAGGGAATGAATAGATCCCAATCGGTGTTCAACGAATCCTAGTCGGGATCTTCAGATTCCACGGAACCCAGTTGAGAATATCCGGAATACTCCACTTTAGATTAATCAGATCCCATTTGAACTATGGATTCCAATCAAGATTCAACTGGACTCTACTCTACTCTTTTCTTTTCGAGAGTCTTTGGATTCCAGGCAAGATTTTCCAGATTCGAATCAAGATTCTCTAAATCACAGTTAATAGTCGCCGGCTTCTAGTCAGTTGCATCTGGATCCCAGTTGATGTACAAGTTCCTCAGTTGGGATTCTACGAACTTCATTCTAGACTTTCCGAATCTCAGTTCCCAGTTAGATATTCTTCAGATCCCACAGGAAACTCTCCGGATCCCAACCGACTTTTCTTTTCGGCATCCAGACTAAATTATTTGGATTGCAGTCTAAATTCTTAATAAGAATACGGTATCATCCAGATTGCAGCTAAGGATTCCGTGAGGCTAGATAATCCTGACTATAATTGCTGAAATTATCTCAAAGGATCTACACCATTCTGAAAAACAACCGGAGAATCCTGAATGAGAACTGTAAAATCTAGGCTAGGATACAACGGATCCAAAATGTGATCCAGAGAATCCCTCCTAAAATTCAGAGAAGGGGAGATTCAGATAATAATATTAGATGAAGTCTGGCCCAGATAGAAAGAATCTCGGCCGAGATTCCAAAGCTTTCGTCGGATTTTTTTTGAATCAGATCTACTGAGATGCTGGTTTGGTGATTTGATCCAATGGTGAACATAATCTTGATCAATTGCTGAGTTGATTTTTTATCCTCTAAAACTGATTTCTTTGAGCGAGAAATAAACAAGATCAAAATTTGTTCGAGCATAAATAACAATGCACTATATTTCAGTAGCATAACGAAATGTTGTTACACGCTACATGCTAAGATCAAATAAGCCATATAAATTAACCAAGCTTGGGCGTAAAGCGGACAAACCGAAATATGGGTTCCATATGAGTAAGTTTATGCAAATTTGTCTTAAATTTATCCATATTTGAGATTGTCCGATATACGCCTAATCTGGGTAAACTTAATTTATATATGTATAGCTTATCTGATCTTAGCGTATAAGGCTAAAGCCTAAATCTAAAGATTAATCTCGTTCCGCCTGAATCAAATTCTCAATACAATTTTTACATTTCTGAGAACTTGTTTACATAAACTTCTTCTTTTTTTCGGTGATTTCATGGCGAATATTAGTGTGTTTAAAAATTACCACCAACAATGTAATCGAAATCGCTTCTATATCAATCAATTCGACAATGGAAATCGATTTAAAATTGAAACACCATGTAAACAAGCTGTCTGCAACCTGCAGCTGCCAGAAAAGTGAGGTTAAACTTTTCTGTGCAATGGTCATTTTGCCGAGATAAATTTGATCCCAACTTAATGTTACCGTGGACTTAATTCAAGAGTGTATGTACTCTAAAAATGGTCATGATTTAAGTCCTGAGGAAAACCTCTACTGGAAATTTTACATGAGACATACAATCGCTTCGGTTTTAGTCCTGAGAACGACATCGTGGAAATTGATTCTAAGTTCGAACACTTTCAATCAAAAACCAATTGAAAGTTAAAATCGGCAAATGACATAAATGATACTACGTGACATGACAGTGCTTCCCAATGTGGGTACATTAGGTTAGGCCCCGGCTATTCGACTATTTATCCGTGTATTTAAATTTTACGCAAAGTGCAGAAAGGCATCCGGAAAATTTACCAGAATTCCGTTACTGAATAGTTCTCTAACGTAAACATCTGGTTCAATTCACCTGCAGACGCGTTCAAATTCTGTCACCAGCAACATCCAGCTTGAAACTGTTGCACACAACAGCACCCACAACACACAGCTGCATCTAAAATAGGTACGGTCGTGTCGGTGAACAACACTTAGTAAATCACGTCACCAGAAGCTTATTTAATGCAAAAAAAAACTAGCTCTGGCTAGTGGGCAACAACCTTCTCCAATCAAAACATTGACTTCGGTGTTCTTCTGTTGTTGGGTGCTGCTCGCATGTAACCAATTATAAAAGCCGGAATCCGGACAACTTTGTGACAACCACGCATAGCTCGGGTTGATGAGAAGGTTAGCTGCGAGATGACGTCACAACCAAGAATACAGCACGCCGTAAAGCAACGGGAGATTCGACATTGACCGAGATTTTTGGTTCGTCGTTACCGTGAACTTGCCGAGAACGAGGTTCAAGTGGAGGAGTATAGTCGTAGTCGTTGCCGCTGTGTGCTCCAATGATATAATGTTAACGCGGTAGTTGGCTGAACATTGTAAGTTATCACGCAACTTGGAACCGGGGAGAACGCCATGGTGAGACGGTGAGGAAAATGATGAATGAAATGAAAATAGGAATAAATGGAAAATAAACAGATGACAGTGCAATTACGAACACGTTTCAAGGTTTGGGGATTGCTCGGGTAGTAGGTTTACATGCGACTGTTATTGTGGGAAGGAAGTTACAACTGCAAATTGTGCAAGCAAGATTACGATCTGTCACTCTTTCTCTGTGGGGGCAAGTAATCGTTGTTAATGCATTTTCGCGTGCGGTTGTCACACAACGAATGACGAGAGATTGTTTATATTGGATAATTACATGGTTGATTTAAAATGTTTATCGGAACCGTTTCATACCGGATAGAAATCCTGTCTGTTATCGTTATTGTTGAAAAGGTCTTCCTTCGATAGTATAAATCAATTTTCCAGTATTTCTGTGGCCGTCGTCGGTAGGGAATCATCTTTCACTTTTCCATTATTTATCATCCGACCGACAACGAGTGAAAATGGCAAAGGCCAAACACACACAAGCCGCAAGCCGCAGGTCAACCAACGAGCATTGTGCTTATAGAGGTCATAACAATCCAACACCCAGCTGCGAAAGATCGGATTTCCATCAGCTCGGGAAAAATCTTCAGTCAATCATGTCCCCATCCAGCTCAGCCTCACATAGACAAAGCATGTCTAAGGGGGCAAATTTCACCCTGAAGGATAGCATTCCTTCGCTTGTTTTCTTCCAATAAACATTTTCACCCGGCATCTTGGACACCAGCTCATAATAATAAAGTCGAATGGCAGCAAACTACAACGAGACGATGATTGATTGCCACGTGTCACCGCAGCCGGAAGACTCCTACACCCTTGCGTCCACTTAGAGAAAGAGTGACTAGTTCCAAGACAACAAACGATACAACGTTAACCCAATCGGCACCTACCTTGGCACGCTTGATGAGCTCATCCTGAGCGGCCTTGACGTTCTCCTTCTTGCCTCCCCAGGCACGCAGTACCGAGGCCTGCAGGGCACGACCGTACGAGAAGGTCAGGGCCCACGGTCTCACCAGTGGCACCTGGTTGATGGCGTTCAGATTGACGGAGGCTTCCTCCTCGGACTGTCCACCGGACAGGAAGGTAACTCCGGTCACGGCGGCTGGCACGGTGCGGCGCAGGGCCCGCACGGTGGCCATGGCAATCTCCTGGGAGGACGGCTTCTTGGCGCAGCTCTGTCCGGCGGTGACCATGTTCGGCTTCAGCAGAGTTCCCTCCAGGAAGACGTGATGGTCGCTCAGGGCTTTGTACACGGCAGCCAGCACCGTCTCGGTGACCTTCTGGCAACGTTCCAGATCGTGGTCACCATCGGGGAGGATCTCAGGCTCAACGATCGGCACGATGCGCTGCGACTGGCAGATCGAAGCGTAGCGGGCCAGCACGTTGGCGTTCTCCAGGATGGACTGGTAGCTGGGGGTGTTCTTGCCGATCTTCAGCACGCAACGCCACTTGGCAAAGTCACAGCCGTCCTTCTTATACTGAGCGCAACGGGCACCGAGGTCGTCCAAGCCTAGTTGTGTGAAGGAGAAAGGTAATCATGATAAGCATTGTTTGAACATTAACATAGATCAACGGTTTATTGAAGAACGAGGAGCAAGGTTGTCATTCTTCTTTTTTATGTAGTCAACCTACAAGCTTAACCTTAACATGAATTAATGTTGATTATAAAGGCCCAAATAATTACTTTTTATAAAAGAGATTTTTGATCTTGGTTTGCGAATCGCTTAAATAGTATGGGCAGACCTACCGATTTATTGCAACCGATAAGACCGAAAGTACTGTCTTTTCCTACCGAAGACAAAATACCATGTCCAACACGTCAAAATGCTACTCAATTAAGCGAGAAATCCATAAATACCTCAGCGCCTCCACGAGCAACGTGGGAAGTTTGATTGTTAGGAAGTGAAGGTTTTATCATGGCAGGATTATAGTAAATCGTTTGTCGAATATACTTGAAAACGTCAGTAGTTAGTATTTACATCTTAGATTTTTAGTAGAAACGATTGGTTTTTTACGTTCCCGACGTTTCGACGGTTTGGTAGCGGCCTTTCTCAAGGGTTGCTAAAACAATATATTGCACATATAATACTTACATTAAACTTAATTACACAAATTTTGACTTACTAATGTCTATCGTATTCCGTTTAAAACTTTTACGCATCGTAGATATGTCAAATTTGATTTGGATAAACAAACGGTGTTACTCTTTAATGATTGGTTGATGGATCATCTTTATCTTACTGTTTAATTTGTAGAAATTTTAATTCATAAGATTATCTTTCTTTCGAGCAGCATTAAGGTTGTAGTACCGGCAGTACCGGTACTGGTTTTAACCGGTAGTGCTGGGTGATTTCCTGGTATCAAAATACCTGTACTGGTATGTGAAAATACCGGTATTTTTGGTACTGATCATTTGAAAGCTAATGCTAAAGCTTACTACAATTTTTGATCATAAATATATCTTAGAGTATGTTTACTAGCGCTGTCAACGAGTAATGATTTTGTATCAAAAAAAAAAAATCGGCGAATCAAAAAGTGAAACAGTAAGTGAAGTGATCAACAGTAATTTTCCATACGCATTCCATTTGCATTTCCTCTAGGAAAAGCTCTGAAAGCTTCAAATATATTTCGAAAATTTTAAAACTGTTAAAATTAGAAAAAATGAGAATTTTCAAGAAATTAAAAAAAAAATCAGTAAGCAATAGTCCAAAAAATTCAAGGAATTGCAAATAGCATCCGGGTGTTAAGAGATTTTCCGAACAGTTCCATTGATTCCAGGGCAGTTCCAAAAACATCCTCTGTAGAATAACGAGAACTTCAGGATAGATTAGAGAACTTCAGAGCGGTACACATATGTTTTTATTCACGCTTTAAATAATAATGAAAGAAAATACTTGGGATTTCAGGAAGATTTCATGGACAGACTGCGGCATATAAGGATAAACTGAGAACTTCTATAAAATTTGGGCGTTTTAGGGAAGCTTGAGATCTTCAAGGTGGTTCTATCAGCTTCATCGAAACTGCAAGAACTTATAAGAAGTTCTAATATCGTCAGGGAAGTCAAGAAAACTTCAGAAAAGTCCAAAGAACTTTTGATAATACTTTAACGAAAACCGCAGACAAGCTAGTTCTTGTCATCTTCACACAAGCACAGGGATCAAAATAAAAAATAAAATAAAAAATTAACAAATGACATCAGGGAGTCCGCTTTGAGAAGCGTCCGAGAACGGTTGTGTGTTTTTGCTCCGCTGCGTGCTTTTTTTTTAGAGCTCGGGCTATCTTTGTGCTGCCGTGTAGTTTTTCGGTGCTCGCATTTGAATAGTTTTGTGTCCCGGACGCGATGATTCTATTTAGAATGATTTGTGCTGATGTTTTTCCCCTGTTGCTTTGGTGCCTGGTGTGCTATCGCTCCCTTTGTTGACAGTGTGACTCGACCGCGCTGATCTATTATTAGGTTTTTGCGGTGTGCATTGCTTTTGTGCACAGAGTGACATGAAGAAGAAAAGTGATATTTAGTTATTGTGTGTTTGGATTCGCTGGAGGAGGAGTTGTTTAAAAATGACTAGAGAAAATTAAGCATCGAGAATGCGCTCCCGGATGTATTGATTTGGTGAGTACGTTCCAGTTGAAGATTGTTCTCTCTAAATATCCCTTTTTTGAATACGTTTCATCAATCAAACATTATTATATGTTGGGTTTGGGGGGGGGGGCAGCCTAAGGGTTTCAATGGATTTGTAGACTGGACAAGTGTTCGTGGATTTGCCAGTCCCTTGTCACGTGTTGATAGACGTACATCTTGTCGTTTGTCTTCCAAAGGTCTTCAATGAAGTTGATTCACCCAGCTGCAACAAACCATCAGGCAGAACTTTACAACCAGTGAAGTATCTGCAGTCATATGTAATCCTTGCACTGATGGTGGGTTCTATTCACATCACATGTTCCCCTATAAAAAAGTGAATTTGTGTCGCATATATTATAATCTCATCTGATTCTGGATTTTACAGTCAGCTTCACAGGTGTCAACCTCCTGCCCAGGAATAAGGAAAACTTCGTTAAAGTCTCTTATTGTGTTTCCCTTCCGACTGGGGGACTTGTAGACTTCGGGGCAAACTTTCTTTGACGGTGGTGGATTATTCCCTTCGTTCGCCTCCGTATCCGAAACTGGCTACATCTGTTCCAATTCTGCTTCAGCCTCCAAGCGAGTCTTGAACTCTCTTTTTTTCACTCAATTGATACGTTCCCACATTGGGTTTGGCATGGAGAACTCGTCTTGAGAGAGTTTCGCTACCGCGTTTTTTTTCCGGCCAGTGTAGGATTCCAGCTTCTTTCCAACCAGAAAGAATTACGGTTAGGCATGTTTCGCATCTTTCAATTGTTTGTACCACTTTAAATGGCATTTATTCCGCACTTGAACTTGGACGACACTAGCTGACTCCCTTCCGAAACATTTTGAACTGTCACTTTTCTCCAGGCAACTTTGTCATCATAAAACTGAACGGTACCAAGTCAAGTCAAAATGGATAATAAATAAACAATAAGGTATTCAAATTTACTTTATAAATGCTATAATAAACCATTGTGCAGCGATGATCGAGACGTTTCCGTCGGATAAGATTATTTTGCGGCCGAGTGTCTAGGAAGCTATGGAAACCGAAATGGCTCTTGATTTTGTTTTATGCCCTTATAGTATAAACCACCATCGCACTTTGTGAGTTGCCCCAATAGAACCCTTGCTTTTGGTTTGAATCAGTACAAATTCGTTCTATTATATAAAAAAAAAGAAGTATACATATTCATTTTCTTCCGAACTAAATAAACCACCATCACACTTTGTGAGTGGCCCCAACAGTATCCTTGCCGTTGGTCTAAATCGGGTCAAATCGGTTCTAATAATTATTTTATATTCAATCAAGTAAACCACCATCACACTTTGTGAGTGGCCCCAACAGCATCCTTGCTGTTGGTTTAAATCGGTTCAAACCGCTTATAATTAATTATTTTGGTCATTGATAAAATAAAATAAACCATCATCACACTTTGTGAGGGGCCCCAACAGTATCCTTATTGTTGGTTTAAATCGGTATACACACATCTAATAATGATCTACATCTCTAGACAGCCGGCTGTTTAGAGCATAAATCGAAAACACTTATAAATAACTACACAAAACAAAAGATCGCATCACTTATCAAGGTGAATCCTGATCCAACGAACCTAACCCACTAACAAAACCTCCTTCCTGTGACTTTTGTGGGATGCAGAGGTAAACACGGTCCCAAAACAACAAAAGTCACACACTAACATTCCTTCCCTCTCCCACCTGATTGCAAGGACGTGGCCGGTGACGTTATTGATCTTTAAAGGTAGGAGTCACTGGAACATGTACACTGAGAATGGCAGGTTACTACCAAGCCCCATTCAGTTGATTCTTTGTACAATTTCACTGGTTCAGATCAATCACGGAGTGCAACTATCGATACGTGCAGTCAGACTAAGCTAAGCTAAGCTAAGCTAAGCTAAGCTAAAAAATTAACAAATGACATCAGGATAATCCAGACTTTTTGGAAAGTTTAGAGATCTGTAAATGATAATTTCCGAAAAATTCAGGATAGCTCTACGAATTCCAGGAAAATTTCAAGAAACTTAAGTCCAGAGAACTTCTGAGAAATTTAGAAAACTTCATATATATTTTGAAAACTTAGCAGAAGTTCAGACATTTTCAAGGAAAACTTCACGAACTTCCGGGTAGAATTTATTAATTATATATTATAAAGGTCGGAAAATCTCACTTTAGCGAATCATTCTACGAAAAATCTTGTTTCAACTCTTGCATCTAAAAACATCTATTTGCAGTAAATCTTCGAAATCTTCATCAATCTTCTTTCTATCTACTAAGCTTGGGTGCATTTCATAACACCAAAGTGAAAATTTCCTGCTTCTTTGATAGAATCACCTTCCTTGATTTTTCAGGACTTTCCTTATTTTTGGGATGTTCGGAGTATTTGAAGGATCCTTAGAGGTTTTCAAAGCAGTTTCTTTCATTTATTGCAGGAACTTTCAAGGAGTTCCGAGAAATTATAGATAATTTCAAAAATTTCAGGAATGTTTCTAAAATTTCAGGTTAATTGCGGGGATTTGATGGAAATTACATCAATATCAGGAAAATTGCTTGAACGTTGAGGAACTTCTGAGAACTTCTTGAAATTTTAGGGAACATTGTCATAGAGCAACAAAAACTGCATGTAAGTCCATAGAAGTTTAGAGATGTTCCAAAAATTTTAGGAAATTTTAAGAACGGATAGATCAATGAACTTAAAGAAAATTGCTCGAATTTTTAAAATGTTCTGAGACATTTAGGGATGTCTAGAGAAACTACTTTGGAGTTTAGAGATGTTTATGACAGTACCAATAACTTCCAAACTGCATCGGAAACTTTTGAAAAGTATGAACTTTTAAAGACCTTGAAGTAATATTTATTATGTTTGGGTTGCAGATCTTCATCAGGTAGAA